CCCAGCAAGAAATGGTAAGTCATGCACATGACTCCATCCCATACATATAGGCTCAAATTAGACTCAAAATGACTGAGCTTGTAAAGTGACCTTGACAAATAATTCCAATGTTTTGTAGTTGTAAATCAACATTTGTTAACCTGTAAAATAAATCTGCATGACAAATTCAAGTTTCTGCATGTGTAGAAGAGGTTTGTTAATTTGTTCAATGTCTGAATGTAAATTAATTGAGCAAATGATCAGTGGTGAGGTTAAACAAAAACATGTAAAAAGAAGACATGGTTTTGTCAACATCTGTGTCCTGATACAGAGAAGAGAACTGTAAAAGTCTGTGCCCACAGTTGTCGGTGTCGCACACTGGGAGCGTTGCGTGCTGAGTTTTACAGTTTTCAGCTGTGCCTGCACAGACATCCACAAAAGCATTTCTTCTTTCCCTGTCTTTGTTTAACCTCACCACTGAGCATTTGCTTTGATTCATATTCTTCTTGAACAAATACAAATCAACGATTGTTCATTTCTGTTAAAAGCAGTTTGTATTTTGTGTAGTTACATTTCCACACAGATCATAGTCGTTTGAAACAATATTCTGTTTATTACATTTAAGTTGTTGTCATATTGAATGCATCAGAAAACAATGTGAATGTGCTCATTATTATCATTTGGCTTGAATACAATCAAAATACTTGTTTGGAAACTTGCTGTGTCTGATTTGTTAAGGAACTTATTGTGAACTGTTGTTGGCTGTAGCTATGTGTGGTGTGTATCCAGGCTCAAATTAGGGTCAAAATGATTTTGAGCTTGTAAAGTGATGTTCACAAATAATTTCAATGTTTGTAGTTGTAAATCAACCTTTGTAAACCTGGAAAATAAATCTACTGGAGAAATTCAAGCTTGTGTATGTGAAACAATTGCGCTTTTTGTTTTTTCTATGGAAAAAAACAGGGTCAAACTAAAAGCGACACAGGGGAAGGGTAGCTTATTAGCATTAGTGCTACCATTAGCAGCTAGCTTGCTGGCATTGTTCATTGATGAATGAACTTAACAATTTCATAAGAATGCAAAATAAGTGGGGGGATAGCTAGCTTCTTTATTGGTGACAAATGGACAAACAGAAGGTGACAGAGCATTTTAACCATGAAGCACGATAAACAAGTGACAAAGTATAAAACACAAAGTACATAAAGTGATTGTTCGTGATTGTTTATAATAATGATGACAATAATCGTTAAAATAATAATTATAATGCTAACAATGATATATTGCAATAGATGATGATGATAATTGCAGCAATGAACTTGTACATGTACAGTACATAAAGCTGCCCCCCATTTTCATTAGTGCTACCATTAGCAGCTAGCTTGCTGGCATTGGCCATTGATGAATGAATTTAATGATTCCATTATAAAATTGCAAAATGACAAGTGGGGGGCTAGTTTGCTAGCATTAGCAGCTAGCATTAGAAAGAAGAAATGAAGGTGAGAAAGAAGTGTGAACATTGTAAATGCACTGTATGTTTAACTGATCGATCTGTCCAGCAGCCATCTCTAGTTTTCTTTCCCAGCAGGAAGTGTCTCTAGGATGAGGTGTGATTCAGGCAGTTTATGTTCTTCCAGCTGCTTTCACACCACTGCTGTGTGTGTCCTAAATTCACACACAAATATTAACATTAACATGTGAAACCTTTCTCTGTCTCTCTCTCTCTCCAGGTGACAAAGAAGCTGCTGCTGCTGCTTCTGAAACGGTTGCCTGGGTTACCAGTGTTGGTGTGTTGGCTTTCCAGGATGGCAACCGGATTGATGACGCCACATCTTGGAGGTGGACCCCCGGAGGAGCCTGTTGTCTCATTGAGGCACAGTGGTCCGAGCTGGAGGGGAAGCACAGGATGCTCGGCCTGACTGTTGCCAAGGTGATGAAAGTATCGACCAGTTTAACATCAAACGGTGTTCAGTAGGAAACAGATGGAACTGCAACCTGGAGCCAAACCAGACTCTTCATAGATGTGATGCTGTGACCTCAGAGACGGATGTGTTCACCTCACACACTCTTTAGTGTGAACTGAACACTGACAGCTCAGATTGTGAAGCAGTTGTCAGTGTAGTACAGCTCATGTTCATTAGTTTTATTCACAACTTCATCGCTGTCATTGAAAAGGTGTTTAATAAATAAACCTGTGATTAAATTGTACTGAGTATGTTTTTATCGTACAGTGCAATATACAGAACACCATATGTTAGTGTTTGACTGACCGGAGATCTAGTTTATTGAACACGGTTCCCTGAGCTGATGGAATCTGGTGGCCACAGCAAATGAATTGGTGATTGTCACATTTGTCCTGTCTTCTTTTATGGTATCTGATGCACAAACACACAGACGAGTAAAGTCCAGGCAGGAAGAGAACAGCAAGAAGCGCCTGGGTTCAGCTTCTTGCAGTGTTGCATGTTCTCCTTGTGTTTCCTCCAGGACTCTGATTACTACAACAAACACATGCACATTTAATTTAGTGGACTCTAAATTATCTATAGGTCTGAAAGTGTGTGTAAATAAATGTAATTCATTATTACAGGCGTAATGCTTGAAATAGAAGTTTGGCTGTTTTATTCACAGATTATTTCTGTCATTTTACAGACTTTTAAAAAAACAGAAAATTACTGTTAGAAAACTTAGAGTTATTTTCTGTAAAATTAGGATTTTTTTTACAGTGTACAGTAAAGTGCTTAAATAAATGTACTTATTTATTTTACACCTATATTTTACTCAGTTTATCTGTGGCTTATGATGAACCTGCAGTTTTACATGCAGAACCTGAAACAGAGTGTGATATGTAGAACCCAGTTCACAGTACGCACTATTATACAAGTCAAAAGAAAGGGGAGATTATTGAAGAAGAAAAAAAGACAATGAAAATAAAATATGATTGATTGTTTTTATTAGTGATCTCTGGATTTACTTTATAATCTGCTCCAAACACAGGTGAGAAGTGACTCTTTGCTAAAATACATGAAGAATAATAAAAAAAAGCCATATTTAGGTTTACTGATGTTTCCTTTTTTCACAGCACAGACGTCAAACATTATTTTTCTTCCTGGTTCCCAGCAGCAGGTTGTTTAGAGTCTGTCTGCTCTGAGACATTTACATGGAGTGACATTAATGTTTAAAATAAACTGTGGTTTCAGCCTGAATAAACATCTTATTGTTCCAGACAAATAATGTCATGATATTCACTTAAAGTTTGTCAAGTCAACTTTATCTTTCAGGCACATTGAAACACACACAATGCTTGAGCTGATCAAAGTGCTTTACAAAGCAACTGAACTAAAGAAAAGCAGGTAAAACAAATGTATAAAGCACATAAACAGGAAAGGAAAGCAGGTAAATGTAGGGTATGAGAAATGATATAAATACACTAACGAAAACAACAAGGAGCAAAATCTCAGTATGAACATGACAATAGAAGGTTAGTGAGCTAAAAAGAGATGGAGCTCATGTGATATCAAGTGGTAAAAGGCTGTGGCCTTTTAGTTTTAGACGTGATCGTGGGACATGTAGGAGGGACGAGCTCTCACATCTAAGAGATCCAGGAGCCGAGGGCCGATGGGTACGGCCTGTGATGTGTGTGTGTGGGTGGGGGGCCTGGACATCAAGAACCTTAAAGGTCATCAGCTGGGTCTTAAATCTGTGTGTGAATAGTCCCTCCTCCCAAAGTACATACCAGCTCTACTGAACATACTGTACTATATTATACACCACAATAAACACATGATAAATTGCTTTAGTAATTGTAATGAAGCCTGAGTCTGAACTGTGCAGCTGACTTAAGGTAAAAACCTTCAAATTAAATACCGTCATACTCAGAATCAGCAGAGACCGAATATTAAAAATAAAAACCATGATGATGACTTCATCGTTTTTAAGGCCTGTCACTTTCCACCAAGACATCCTGCACGCACATCACACGCTGTTTCTGTCCAAGCACCAAAGCAAATTCCTCATATGTGTAAACTTACCTGACAATAAACCTGATTCTGACTCCAAACAGTGGCTCCTTGTCTAAGGATCCCTCCATTAGATCATCCATGGCAAAAATCTGTTGTTGGGCCCCTGCTGTAGATGGCAGTTTCATTATTTCCTCAAGGTGCCCAGAAACCAACCAGTACGCTACATCTAAATAATGATGATTTATTAATCGTTTAAATGACTTTTCTTAGAAAGTTTTTTCAATGCTTGAAAGAAGAAAGAATATGCATATGTTAAATGCACTTATAGAATAACGATGGGCATATTTCACAATGTTCTGACAGTTATTTTCTTTAATAATGGATTGACTGCCCAGTGTATAAAATAACTGTCAGAAATATTGATAATGAAAATAATGGTTGGTGATGCAGTAATATGACCATACCTGAGCTTTTCTGTCTGTTCACACACAAACAACATTTACAGCCATTTGATAAAACACAACAAATGAGCTCAATACAACCTAAAACAATGAAAGTGTTGAAACTAGACTTTAACACAGAGTCCAGACCTTCTGCAGTCACCAGTGTTGGGTATTTATTTATGTATTTATTGGTATAGGTATTTATTTCTAAGTATAACCAAGTGCAATTTGAAAAGTGCAATTTTAAAACTCCTATCCTTACATATTTTCTATTTATGTATATATTTATCTTGTGTATGTATATATGTATATGTCTATATTTATTTTTGTTTTTATTTTTATCTTTATTTTTCTACTTTATATCCTCTACTGTTTGCTGAGGAGCAACTGTAACGCGACCTGAGGATCACTAAAGTTTCTGATTCTATCATGAAGGAGTGATTCCTCTTCTTCACAGAGGAGCTTTGGTTCCAGTATTGGTTATTATGAAACAGAGTGATTCCTCACGTTCATAGACGAGCTTTGGTCCTCCTCCTCCTCCTCCTCCTCCTCTCTCGCTCTCTGCTCTTCCTCCTCTCTCTCTCTCTCTCTCTCTCTCTCTCTCTCTCTCTCTCCTCACCACCACTCTCTATGCTCTCTCTCCCCCGCTGCGGCTCTCTCTGCTGCCGCTGCGGTGAATCTCCCCTCCGCTGTCAGTCACGGTGCAGTCAGGCAGCCGGTGGCCGGTGGTCGGTGTCTAACCGTCAGAAGTCAGAATCCCTGTTGAAACATCGTCTTTTCCTGACCCGTTAACTCGGCTCTAACTCACTCTCCCGGCAGCTGTTCATCTTCTGGCGGCAAAATGGTGAGGAATAACCTGTCCTTCATTTTTTTAAATCATAATATTAAACCCGATTTAGTGAATTCAGCTTCTGCCGCAGCTCTTCTGTTAGCTAACGTTAGCCACCGTTAGCTCAGCGCTGAATTTAAAGAAGCGTAACGTTTGCGGCCGTTAGTTTATGTGGGTCAGTTGTTGTGTTATTTATGGTTATTGTAACTGTCACACCGCCATGTGTAAAGTAACCATGATTTGTGGTTTGGTAGATTATAGCCTCTATGCTAGGCTAGCTGGTGCACTAATAGAGAAGCACTGGTTTATTAGCAGGCTAGCTGTTAGCTGCAGGAGCGTCAAGTGCGTAGCAGAAATAACGGAAGTCTAGTAGCATGGCCATCAGAATAAAAGCTTTTTTTTTTAAACTAAGGGTTTTAATCTTGTCTTCTGATTGTGTGATCATTTAGTTTAGAATTGTTACATATAACAGTTTATAATCAAAATAGTTAGTTGAAAGTGTTGATGTGTCATGTTATGATAGACCAACTACCTAAGATTGAAAGATATTTTATTTTCAGTTTCACAAAACAGCGAAAAGCAGCAAATTATTTAATTTCAGAAGCTCGAAAAAGAGAATATTTGCATAAGTATGACTGATGATTAAATATCATAATTGTTGCATATTAATTTTCTTTTGACAGACCAATTAATTAATTGACCAATGTTTCAACTACAAAATGAACAATTAAAAGCTCTATTTTCATGTAAATAAATTAAAACATTACAAGATGAAAGAACGCGCTGGCACCAATAATTCCACTTTTATTCAGTGGTATTTATCTGCAGATATGGATCGTGATTGTGACGACTAATGAAGTTTGTATACTGTCCATCTGACATGTCTTCTCCAGGAGGAGCTTTATTTTGAAAATGATGACCGGAAGTGTTGTATTGTGTAATCGTGCAGTACACTGGAGCTCTGTCAGATGTCTCAGCTGGTGATAAAATTAAATGATCTGAGATTGTGTGAAAAAGGAGAATAACTACCTTTCACAATAAAACACCTCCTTTGCTCTCCACGCAATATTTAGCCTAATATATGAGCATTTTATGGCTCTGACTGTCACTATAAACGCATAAAAACATTACTTTGCCTAACATCACTGTTGTCAGGTCCTGATGAGCTTTAGGCCAAAAACCCAACAGGTGACCACAGTCCCACCTGAAATAAACGACAAAGATTCTTCTTCTTGTTTGTAATCTCGTGTCTGAATGTGGAACTCTTGTTTCATCGTCAGTCTTTTCTCTTTTTCAGGGAAATGAAGCCAGTTATCCTCTGGAAATGTGCTCACACTGTAAGTACCAACACGTCACTGGCCACATGTCAGTACATCAAACACTGTAAGTGCAAGTTACTGACATTTGCACTTTCCCTGACTGTTAAATGTCCTTGTTTAAGGTTAGAGGTCATTGATTGATTGAGCTTTATTTTTAAGAAAAGGAGTTTCTTTGTTTTCATCTATGCTGTATTAGTTTTTAATATTAAAGGTGAAAATCTGATCTAAATAAACTGAAAAATCAGGGCAAAGAATCATTTGTAGAGGAAATATTTTCTGATGTGCGCTGCAGTGCAATGTGCCAACTTAACATTCACGTTAGCTCCTGAAACTTCATTTTCTTTATGCCACGATAATATTAACAAGGCTAATACTGTCAAAACCACAATGTAATTTGTTTTGGTACTTAAAACTAATTAATAAGGCAACAGATAAAGACATTTATCTAAACCTATGTTAAACAGAACGCTTGTTCCAGTTGCCAAATTATGTAAAAAACCACATTACTCATCATTATTATTATCATTGTGTAGGGCTGCCACTAACGACTGTTTTTCAACTATTCAGCTGTTTTATTGAATAGTTAATTAATCTAAATGATTCATTTCCATGTCCAGAAAATCTGAATGACAGTCATGTATTTATCAGCTACAAGGACAAAAGATATATAAAGCTCCGTCTTCTAATGAACAGACGACTTACTTACAGTAACATACAGTAATGTTCAGTCACAGTTGAACTCCAGGAATCTTCAGTTATCTTTACTTCACCTGGTTCTGTGTCCAACACACAGCAGCAGTGTGACTATAAAAGACAAATAGAAAACAAATATATGGTGATTAATAGTGATTGGCCACCACAAATAAATCAAAGTATGTGAGGCGATTTGGCGACTTAAAATATTGTCGTCGATTATTGCGACTAATAACTGCAGCTCTATTATTATGAATCCTTTAGTCTTTGCTGGAATCAAATTTTTGAATTAACAAAAGGATGTTTTAATGAGGAAGTATGTGATGGATGAAAATAAGTGAATGAATAATTAACCAGAAGGTTCACTGTCAGCATTCAGACAGTTTGTGCTGCTTGTTGCCGCAGACCTGAACAGAAATCTAAAGTGTTGTGGTTCAGTCTCCTGCGCTGTAACTGTGGTCCATCAGGTGAAGAGCAGACAGAGAATCTGTGGTGAGTTCATGTTGACTTTAGGAAACCTTACAGAGGGGATCTGATGTGATGGAGGCTTTTGATGCACCTCCTCCTGCTGAGCCCGGCCAGCAGTCTGACCCCGACTCCCAACACGCTAAAGGTCAGTTTCAGGGCTGCTGGGAAAGCCTCCTTTATTTTTAGTCACGGCAATATCCCCGTTTTCATTAGCCGGTCGCCCTGCGCTGACCTCAGCTCCAGAGAGGAGAGGTGTCCGCTTAATTAGAAATAATGAGTGTAATGTCTGGACCTCTCCAGGAGATGGAGCTGTCAGCCGAACTTTGGTCTCAAATTCTGTCAACTGTTGCTGGAATTGGGTAAAGGAGGTGGTAAGTGTGTGTGGGGGGGGCTGGGGTCCTAACGAGCTGTTAGGAAAGGGGGATTAAAGTTAATGATCTGTGTTGTTCCTGTGTACGTCTCCACACCTAGAAACCCTGACGATCCTGCTGTCTGTTGGTTCCCAGAAACAGCTTAGCCTTTTCTTGCACTGTGTGGTCTGGGAGGTTTGTACCTAATATTTTGGTTTTCTAGTCTCTGAGTAAGACCAGACCCTGTTGTGTGACTTTGGCAAAGGTTCATTCAGGTGTCTGTGTTGCTGCAGGTCATTATGGGGTCATGCCGTGTACAGGAAGTCGTAGCTGGACGCTAGCTTCACATGAGCAGCTCTCAGCACACCTCACTGGGCTGAACCAGGGAGACATGAGCAGCAGGGTTCAGTTGTCACAGAAGAACCATTACTTTACACGTGAAGCCATGATAATAATGACCAACAGTAAAATGTTGATCAAACAAAATGGAATAAAATCAATAATAATTATGATAATTAATAAAATATATACAAATACTAACACCTTTATAATTATATAACACTAACACATGTAAAAGCCAGATTAAATAGATGTTTTATTGGTTTACATTCTGCCATAGTTTCATTCTATTCCGTTAAATAAAGTATTTCTGAGTAGGGAAAATGCATTCTACATGTTTGTTAAACCTCAAACAAACACAGTGCAGTTTGATGAGTGACACTGAATGTAAATATAACTTTTGCTAGTTTGCAAGAAAATGACATAGGACACATTTAATGTTCTTGGTTAGTCTTATCCAGAGCACATAAAGGTGGAACATCTTTCTCTGGGACACTTTTGTAAGAATGTTTTCTCTGTAAATGATCCATTTTTTATTAGTTTACGCAGGTTAATTGACAGGACAGATGATCAGAGGGGTGGAGTTTTCACCACCATCATTATTACAGGGACTGAAGTATGGGTAGAGTTTCTCAGTGAAGGAGCAGCCAGTAAAGGAGTAGATGAGAGCTGCAGCAGCTACGTCATAAAAGGAGACCAGACCCTCCTCATAATCCACAAACACCCCCACCTTCTCAGGCTGAGACTTCAGAGAGAGACGGACTGAGGGGTCATCAAGAGCTTTGTACTCATTTCCATTTCTCAACCATATCGTCCAGTAACCATCATCAGGGCTCAGTGTGATGTCTCCCTTCCTGTTGATCGACTCTCTGGCCACTCCTAATGTCCACTCAGTCTTTCCTTTAACCTGAACCTCAAAGTAAAATCTGCCTGAAGAGAAACTCTGCTTTCCTAAAACAATAGGGCATTGAGAAAATCTCTTTGGGTTGTCTGGGAGATTCTTCCTCACATCACCATGATTGACTTGTTTTCCATCATCAGACAGGACGAGTTTAGGACTTGCTGTATCAGGATCCAGAGTCACATCCTCTGCATACTGCTGGACCCTCTTCAGCTCAGCCTCAATCAGCTTCTTCATCTCTTCACTGAGCGTCTCCTCCAGCTGAGCCACAGCTCTCACCACAGTCCCCTCATATGATGGTGGACGGACTCTGACCTCTGTCCAGTCCTTGGTGGGTGTGTGGGATGTGTGTATTATATGTAAGTATAGGAATGAGTAATAATTAATACGACATACAAAATAATAATTGAAAGTATATAGGGTTAAATATGTGTCCAGAATATATAATATATACACCATAGTAATAATATAATGCTGTAAAATATAGATATTGATAACGTTGCGTAACTGGATAGTGATTAAACCAATAAAATACAATGTAAAACAAAAAAGTGTTTATGTTACTGCATGTTATCCTCCAACTTCCACAGTGATGCACCTGGTCTACAGGTACTGAGAGCTGTTCTGTAATTTAGCCTCACTGATATAAATGGTGGTGGACAATGTGACAATGAATTATTCCAAAATTCATTCATTGGCCATACTGTTGTCACCAAATCCACCAGGACTGAGATCTTCTTAAAACTAAAAGAGTGAAGACATTTGTACCAGTTATGTGTAAAACGAGCTTTTCTTTTCAGTGTGTGGTGCTCAGATCACTGTTCACTCAGGCCTCGTGTTTAAAGTCTTCAACATCAGACAAGTTTATTTTACAGTCACGTATTTACAGATTCTTTTAAATCACAATCCATTTGACCAGTATTCAGAAATCAAAGGAAAATAGTCCAAAGTAACCAGTACTTAATCAGTAATTAGCATTCAACTAATTACCTTTGTCCATGAGCTTTTCACAACTTGAATAACAATGACACAGACTGCATTTTGTATGAAATAGCAAAGGTCCAAAATGTTGATGGTAGTTCTTGATCATTTGTAGGTAATAGGTCCGGACAGTTTGCCATCTGGGTCTGGACCAGGACAGTGATCCACCCATTTGTAACCTCTGCACTTAACAATATATTTTCTATAGTTACACATCAGGGCTCGACTGATTATCGGCCCGGCCATATATCAGATGCCATATTGAGCATTTTTATGATTATTGGTATTTTTTGTTTACTAATAATCTTTTTCGGAATCGGCCCTGAAAAACTGGTCAACCCCCGATGTCATGAGTGACACGTTGGTGACTACTGCAGGGTTGACGAGGCATCAAACTAAGTGTTGCCTGTGTGATGGGATACATATAATAATCTTACAACAAAGTCACCGCAGTAATCAGATTCTGTAGAAAATAACAAGATATAATTAGGGATCGACCGATATGGTTTTTTCAGGGCCGATACTGATTATAGGTTAACAAGGAGACCGATAACCAATATCTGGAACCGATATGTCAACACAAAACTACTGCTGTATAAGGACACTCACCATGGCGTTCAGGTGTTACTATTATTTTGTCCACCCCATTTATATCAGTAAATGTAAGTAAATAACAGAAACGCTGTGTAATGTAACACAGCTCCACACATTACATCCTCCACAATGACCATCAACAACTGTCCCTCCCCTTTTAAAATATAACGCAGTAACAAGTTTACTCAGAGATATTTTATGTTCTCAGTTATCGGTTAAAAAAACATAATTCATTCATTGTCTACCGCTTATCCTCTAGTAGGGTCGCGGGGGGGCTGGAGCCTATCCCACACCCTGGACAGGTCGCCAGTCCATCGCAGGGCAAACACACAGAGACAGACAACCATCCACTCTCACAGTCACACCTATGGTCAATTTAGAGCATCCAATTAGCCTAGTCCCCATTTGCATGTCTTTGGACTGTGGGAGGAAGCCGGAGAACCCGGAGAGAACCCACACAAGCACGGGGAGAACATGCAAACTCCACACAGAAAGACCCCGCGTCCGAGCCGGAACCTTCTTGCTGTGAGGCACCAGCTCTAACCACTGCTCCACCGTGCCGCCCAAAAAACATAATGATACCGGTAATCAGAAAATGCTGTATATTACCACCGATAATCAGCCAGGCTGATAATCGGTCGATCCCTAATATGAATTGTAAAGTAATTAAAATATGTACTTTTGTTCCCTGGAATTAAAATAAATCAAATCGTAAAATAACTGAAGTTATTATTCTACTCAGTTTGATTGACAGGACAGATGAGAAGAGGGGTAGAGTTTTTACCACGATCATTAAGCCCTGGATTAAAGAGTGGGTAGAGTTTCTCAGTGAAGGAGCAGCCAGTAAAGGAGTAGATGAGAGCTGCAGCAGCTACGTCATAAAAGGAGACCAGACCCTCCTCATAATCCACAAATACCCCCACCTTCTCAGGCTGAGACTTCAGAGAGAGACAGACTGGAAGGTCATCAAGAGCTTCGTACTCATTTCCATTTCTCAACCATATCGTCCAGTAACCATCTGTAGGTCTCCGCTTGATCTCTCCTTTCCTGTTGATCGACTCTCTGGCCACTCCTAAATTCCAGCCAGTCTTTCCTTTAACCTGAACCTCAAAGTAAAATCT